TCGCAAATATTACATGAATACATATAAACAAAATTAAATTACACAAATTAACATTGAGGCACTTACATTATGTCATGTACTGACGTAAAACATGATAATATTATGTATCACATATTATGTATCACATAGGTATCACATAAGAGATCGATATCCTAACGTAAAAAATGTATAAAACATTTTATAAAAACTATCAAAAAAACCTATCAAAAAAACTGCAAGTCTTGAAATATCATATTAAACAAAACATTAAACTTCAACACTACATTAAATGTAATTAAAACATTAGAGCCACACAGTTTGAATTGTTTTACATAACATCAATGTATGCTCAATTGCAAAACAGCAAAAACAAATGCAATAAATATATAACATTATATAAAATAATAGACTTCAAATATATAACATTATACACAGAGTGAGTCATCTGAATCTATCACCTCCAATAACTCGTTTGTGTGGCCAAGAATAAAAAAAAGTTTCATATAAAAGTTGTAGGGTTTCGAGGGGGAACCAAAATGGCGTATCTTTCAACCTTTGATTTTGACCGAAAGTGGGTTACTTCAACCGGAAGTGGTTTTTTTTAAATGGAAACCCCCCTTTTTGACACCGGAAAATGAAAAAGCGGAAAATTTTACGTTCAGATATAACCTTGGCTGTTTTAAAATTTTCAAGATAGCGAACGAAGATGGCGGACAAAAATTTTAGTCAACCGATTTGCACCAAATTAAGTTTACGAGGGTTTTTGGGATTGCTGATCACGAATCTGAAGTCAGATTTGCAAAATTCAAAATGGCGGATCTAAGATGGCGGACCAAGATGGCGAACGAAATTTTTAGCCGAAATTAATANAAATTACTACTCTTAGCACTACCCAGGAACAACGGCGTGGACGTGGTAGTTTTGTGTTCCTTTTGGGATGCTTTATTTACGTGAGTCCCCTTGCCTCTCACTATCGGGGTGCTTTATTTACGTGAGTCCCCTTGCCTCTCACTATCGGGGTGCTTTATTTAGTTAATTTGTAACTTCAAACAGTTTATTCGCTAAGTAGTACACTTAGCGAATTAACTGTTCGAAATTCCGTTCATTTTCTTGAATGCATAGGTCGATACGCTTTCTGAATGATGTAACTGTTCTCAAAAGAATTTCTTGAGATATTGCGGCACAAGCAGTCCGAATACGTTCCTTCATATTCTCCTTGGTTGTTGGTTTTTCGCTATAGACAATATTTTTCAGCATTCCCCACAGGAAAAAATCGGGAGAAGTTAAATCTGGCGAACGAGGAGACCACGCGACTGCGCCCAATCTCCCAATCCACCTACCATTGTATCGGTTATTCAAATAATTTCTTCCAATATTTGAATAATGTGCTGGCGCACCATCTAATTAAAGCCACATCCGTTCTCTGGTGAATAAATCAACGTCTTCCAATAGTAACGGTAAATCGTCTCGAAGAAACTGCAAAAAGTTTTGTCCGTTAACGTTTTCTTCAAAAAAATAAGGA